ATGTTAAGAGCTTTTTTATTTTATTTATCGATTTCCTTGACTCTAATCTAACATTAAAACATATAGATTAAAGTTGCTCTATGGACAGACGGATCTATTACTCTTTGGATAATTTTTTGTAATAACATTGAGCTCCTTGAGAACCAAACAAGGAAAACTTGTGAGTCAATTCTGTGTTAGTTGCATCATTATGGAAGGAATACTCTCTTGGCCAGGCCTTCGCAAGAGAATACTTTTGCTCGTCTTTTCTGACTTTGATTTATCTTTAATGAGAGCTCCCACAGACGTGACTAGGCTCTTATTAACGCCACTTTTGAGACATGAATTGAAGATGCTATTCGAATTTTACATTTTAGTCCGTGGTATAGACGCCGTTTATCAAATTAACATCCACCTAAAACTTCATAAATATAAATAAAGAAACTATTTTATTTACTAAAATTCTCGGAATTGGGGCGTTTTCGAAATCGAGAAAAAAGTTGGTCTACAAAAATATTGGGCCATTTTTCCTAAATAACCTCGTTATTTTGTTTTTGAAACGAAATTAAATGAAAATATTTTTTTATTATTATCCTTGGACTGTTGTTCCTTTAGGACAAATCATAGATACAGAAAAAATGCCTGTGTGGCCATACATTAAATTAAAATATTGGTAGAAAAAAAATACTAAAAACTTACAGATATATATAAAACAAATATCGACAAATAAAATCATAAGAAAACAAAATCATTTCTGGGGAACTTAAAAAGTTCTCTTATCTACATTTCGTGATCAATCGGGTTGGGAAAGAAGTAGGTGCTTAAAAAGGAGAGATTTAAATGAGGAAGCTGATTGTGCATGGCGGATGTCTGGAGGGATGCTATTCCAGAAGGAGACGGGTTGAATTATAAAGGATTTGTCAAAGGCAGAAGTTCGGTGAGGAGGAGGATAGAGGTCGGAAGTATGGGTCTAGTGGAACGGGATTGAATGAAATATAAGGGCTGTGAAAAATATAAGAAGTTCGCTGAGTTCTGATGGCTTGGTATAGAAAGGTAGCAAGGAAGGCGGTTGCATGGATAGAGCTTGGTGTAATACTGGGTTATATGCGTATCTCTTTAGATTTCGATAACAAAACGTATTGCGCAATTCATTAGGCGTTTAAATTTGGCCTCGAATTCTTCCGAGAGTCCGCCGTACACCAGCCATAGTCGAAGTGTGGGAACACAAGAGAGGCAACCAAGAGCTGACAGGATTTATATGGAAGGAGATAGCGGAGACGGTTAAACTGTTTCAGGGTAGAGATAGTACGACGGGAAATTTGGGAGATGTGTGGTTTCCAGGAGAGGGTTTGATCAAAGGTAGCACAAAGGTTTTTTACGGAAGTAAGGAATGAGATAGGTGAGTTGTTCAAGAAAAGATTGGGGAGTGTCGGTAAGGATTTGAGGAGTGAGGTAAATCCGACCAGGATGGCTTTCTTATTCTTGGCGTTTAGAGTACTTCTTTTGTGGTTTATCCTGGCACAAATTCCGTTTATATCTTCCTTTAATTTTTGGATGGCGTCAGAGGATTCGGTCGGATTGGAGGAGAAGTAAACCTGGATGTCGTCGGCATACAGATGGTATTGAAAGTGTAGGATAGAAGATGGGAGGTCATTAAATGTAGATGAAAAAAAAGATGGGAGATAAGGAGTTGTTTGGGTATTTTTTTATTTTTGGTGTTAGGGGTATAGGTCACGCCAAATGGCACAATATTTTTGAAGGCTACATTTTTTCCCAATATTTCGGCTCAAATTATCTTACGATTCAAGTTCAAATAGATATTTACGAGTTTTTAGTACCTAATTAAATAGACGAAGTTTGCCGATCTTCAGATTGAAAACGCCCCAATTCCGAGAACTTTCCTAAATAAAATAGCTGTAACCACTAACGGATCCAAGATTTAATTTGGGGGGGGGGGCTTCAGTCCGAAAGATTTTTTTTAATGTAAATATTAGGATAATTACTTCGGAAGAAAAAAAACTGGTGTTTAAGTGATTTTTTAGGTCCTATTAAATGTAATTAGACGAACAATAAAACTTTTAGAGATGATTCTTTTCATAAAACATGATTATATTTTAACATTTTAGAGGGAGGGTTTCAGTCCGAATTCGGAATTACACTGAAGTATAATAGTGTACTACGGACTATTAATTTGTAAGCAAAACCTGTAAAAGAAAAAAAAAATGTGAATAAAAATACTGCAATTTTCTTTTCGAAATCGCATATTCTTTCATACAACCGAATCATTTTTTAAAGATTACAAAAGGATATGCAAGTACAGAACCCGCAATGAACAATGTCGACCAATATTTATTTTTTAATGAACTAAGGACAAACAAATGACATCTTTTCCAACACAATGTCTATTTAATTTTTTTCTACAAGAAAACCGAACTTAGTCTTTCAAGGAGATTCTTATGACCTTTGAACTGTTGTCCATGCAATCTACACTGTGCCCCAAGGACATGGTGTAATCATTGTAGTCATTCTATTATTAATGTTTAAGGATTTTCATTTGAAAAAAAAGATCATGTTGCATTCGTGCATAGACAATAGAAAGTGCATAGAACAAAAAAAAAGTGTTTAACGAATATGACAATTCCAAATTATTATTCCAACTCCAGAGATAAATGAATCATTTTAGTATTATATTTTTTATAACGTCGAATACATAAGTATTTGGCCCATTCTCTCTAAGTTTGTCAAATTCGCATCTTTGCAACTTATTCTATAATTCGAGAGAAAAAACATCCAAATTTTGTTTAAAGGAGCTTAATAGTATAAACAATTTAAGAATATTTTCTTCTGATATTTTAGTCTTAGAACTGTAATAGGTCTGGTAAATTTTGGACTATAAAATTGAAATATAAAATTGGCTCCCCTGCAATATTGACTTCCTGCAACTATATCCTAGCAGTGTATAATTTCTTGAAAAAATATCATTTTTGAAAAATGTTTATGTTTCCCACAACTCGTAATTCATCAATACATCCTTTAAATTTAAATGTCAATGGTATAGTACCAAAAGGAAATGTCAGATTATTGGTCATACACGTCAATATTGTTTTCCTTGCTTTTTTTTTTTTTCATTTTTGACAAAAGGGACCCTAGATAAAATAAATTGAGTAAAAGCATATAGATCATATCTCAACACAAGTCACTGACGCCTTTAAAATGTCCTAACTTAGACGGATTTGTGATACAATTTGAGTTGAGGTCTTAAAATACGAATAAACCAAAAGTAACGAAGATAAGAGACATTCACTAAATGTTGGATTATGTGTAATGCTCCAACGAATACATATAATTTATAATTAATTTGATGAGTTGTGGCAAATGAAAAGAGAGTCTCTAGTCAATGTATTAAATTCAAACCATTAGGATATATGATTATTTACGAGTGATTAGTGATTATTATGATTATTTAGGAGATGTGTGTTTCACTAATTTACTGCTTTTAAAATAATTCCGGCAAACGAGGTAGTAGCGTTTTTAGGTTATTCATCTGGAAGAAAAAGAAAGGAATTAAATAAAATGTTTTACAGTAATTCTTTAAAATTTTCTAAGAGTACATATTACTAAATAAAGTTTATAATATCGAGGAAAAAAATATTTATTTTAACTCTTATACATTTTATTAATGCTTTAATCCATTTTAGACATCTCGACGTCACTTATAATTATTGTAATTTATTTTATAAATATAATTGTCGACTTGAAAATGGTCAAAATTGCCCGAAACGTCGTCGAGATGTTAAAAATGGATTAAGCATTAATAAAATGTATAAGGATTAATATACTTGTTTCCTCGATATTATAAACTTTATTTAAATAAGATGATGTTTAAGTACTAGTGGATCCAGGAACTAATTTTGGGGAGGGCTTCAGCCCGGAAGCTTTTTTTTTTCATATATATAACGATAATTTCTTTGGAAAAACAGAAAGATCCTAACTACCTACATGAAATGGTGTTTAAGTGGTTCTTGAAGTCATATTAAATGTAATTAAACGAGCAATGATACTTTAAGACATAATTTTTTAATATTTTTTACCATAAAACATGGTTATATTTTACCATTTTTGGGAGGGGGGCTTCAGCTCGAAAGCCCCCTCCCTCGTAAATCCGCCTGTGTGTTTAAGTGGTCCTTGAAAACTTACTAAAAAAATAATAATACTGGAACAATAATGCTTTTAAGGATAGTTTTTTTTTTTTATTATATGCCTTATAATTCAAAAAGAGTACACATGTTGTAATTGTTTAAGTATATAGCTAAGATCACCCACAGTAGCAAATAAATACCTATGAAAAAAGAAAAGGTTTTTTTTCTATTTTGGGGGGAGTCTCCAGCCTGAAAGCCCTCATAGATCAGCCAGCGATGAGGAGAGTTTGGTTCGTCCTAACTATAGCACCGGCCTTAGACATTCGGTGCTCCTGGGCAATATCATATCCCCTCACCCTCCCAAATAAAGTTTCTTTATTTTTCTTCTAAAGTAATAATCGTTATAAAAAGTTTTAGGATGAAGCCGCCCCCTCCCAAAAAAAAAAAAAATTAAATCATGGATCCGCTACTGCCCTTACGATCGGCACCCCGGGGTAATTGCCTTGGTTGCTCGATAAGGTCGGAACTGACCTATGGGGTTTTGCTTTGATATAATTCAATGATGAGAAGTTTATTAGTAATTGCTGCTAGTTTTATCCATCTATTTTTAAATGATTAAGATGAGTTATTTTTAAAACCGATGATTTTGTCGGCGTATAGATTCTCCGAGTTCGCAAAGCCTTTTATAGATGTATTTAATACTTATTGCTATTTTATCCTCTGCTTCATTAAATACAGCTATGTTAAATATTGATTAATCCTTATAAGCTTTCAAGAAATGTGGTACAAAATGACTCATATAATTTAAAATTATAAAAAAAAAAAAAAAAGTGTTATTATTGTAAATATACTTCCCACTCTTCAGCAAGGTCGTTGTTCCAGGTGTGAGACCAGTCAGAGCCGGTTTGCCTTAGTGGAGAACAGGTCCAGAGTATTTACTGAATTTGCGGAATCGGTGAGTAATTGGATTTTTAATCTATATTCTATTATTTGATAATAAATTAATACAGATGAATTAATTAACTTATTTATGGGGACCCTTCTTAGAATAGTTAGTGAAAAAGACTTGATTTATCATCAATCATTTATATTTACAAACATGAATTCGACTCGTATTTATATTCCCTTAAATTAAATTATATTCATTAAACAATAATAAAATAAAATCAATTGAATTAATTACATAAATAATCGCAAACATTATATTTTAAATTTATCATTCTAAATTGATAATTAATCATTTTTCGGTTTATCAGTTTTATTGAGATAAAAAATGAAACTGAAGGTTAGAATTTTTGGTATATGTTTCTCTAATATAGCAGAAATACAAGATTAATCACTCAGGAGGGGTGGCATTACTAATTAGCGGAAACGTGATCAAGTTATCGACGGGAATCATTTGGTAGGTAATAAAATAATCTCAGTTTTTAGTTTATTTTTTAAATTAAAAATCAAAATATCATTAATTTAATACTTTTAAATTTAAAACCAAGTTTATAATTCATGACTAACTGTGATCACGAACTATTTTTTTAAATTTTAAATATCATATATATTTCAACTGTTAAATATTATGTTATATATGGAACGCCGAATCTCTGTATGTATACTTTAAGAATTATGTATTTATACTTGAAAAACATCTGAATAGCAAAATCTATACTAGTTGACCAGTGCGAAATAATTCGTTAAAAATAATGGTCAGTAAATTGATGATAAAATAAAAAATAAATAAATAATACAACGCATCATAAGATATATGAATCATTTTCTATTTATTCAGTAATTGTAATTGACTAAGGAAAACAATTATTATAAAATTTCTTTATGTTTTAAATAATTGTTTTTACGAATTTCAATAGCCTGTATCGCAGCTAATAATAATCCATATGCAATATTTTTTTTTTTTGTAATGAATTTAGTAATCTTTCAAATTATTATGGTATAACCTAGAATTTTTCAATTATTCGCAAATAAAGTTTCTTTTTCCTGAATTTTCGGAGCATGGTTAGGGATGGTTAGATTAGGAGGAATATCTTCAAACGTTATACCTCTTTTAGCGTACAACCTTAACATATATCACTCGTGTCGCCTCGCTTTCAAAACACACGGGGAATCTCACCGAAAAAACTAAGATATCAAACTTAAAAATCTATCCAGCCGTTTGATCGAAAAATCTCTTAAAATATCTTTAAGCAAATAGATTAAACATATTTTATTTAATCGCGATTCAGTATTTTTAGTTCGAATTGCTTTAAAAATAACTCATGGATTCTCACCGAATAATTTGAGCCATGAAATATAAAAATCAACCCAGCAGTTCACTCCAAAAAGCGTTACATAGCTTTTAGCGGACGATCCAACACATTATCTTGGTTTCGCTTCGCTTAGTCGGGTAAAAAGTAGGATGAAAACATAGGCTTCGAACCCTGTTGTTTAGAATAGTCAGTACTTTTATTTATGGTCCTGCACAAGCGTAAAATAACCTAAAATCTTATATAATTGTATTGACGAATGGATAAGAATAAGTTCACTATTATTATTGTAGATGGCAAGTATTCCTTTTTTTTTTTTTTTTTTTTTCCTGTTTACACATTCTCCAAAACAAGGTGAGGACGAGCATTTAAAAGTGTAATTGCGTGACTCCAGATAGAGGAATGTTGCTTGACCTCAATGGTTTGACATTTTTTTTCATTACTTAACTTAAATGGACGCCGATTTCCTTTTTGTCAATCAGTTCTGTGGGAGAACTAACAACGAAAGATTAAACCAATAATTCATACCAACAAATCGAATACTTTGATTAGATATCAATAATCAAAAATATCACCGTTAAAAATCTAGGTGTTACTTTTGATCAAACCGTATCCTGGAAACCACAAATTTCCCGTCGCACTATCTCCACTCTAAAACAGTTCAATAGTCTACGATATCTCCTTCCATATAAGTCCCGTCAACTCCTAGTTTCCTCCCTTGCTTCTCCCCCCCCCCCACTTCGACTATGGCTTTATGGTGTACGGTGGACTCTCGGGAGATTCCGAGGTTCCACCAGATTCCAAAGAAGATTCCAAACTTAAACCCCTAATGAATTGCGCACTACGATTTGTTTTCGGAATCTCAAGGGATACGCATATACCCAGTATTACACTGAGTTGAGGTGGTTCTACCCATCCTATCGCCGTCAGTACTTCCTAGCCACCTTTCTGTACCAAATCATTAGAACTCATCGACCCTCCTATATTTTTCACAATTTTACAATTCAAATACTCCATCCAATCCCGTCTCACTAGATCTCGTACTTCCGACCTCTATCCTCCTCCTCACTGAGCTGCTGCATTTGACAAGTCCTTTGCAATACAAGCCGCCTCCCTCTGGAATTCCATCCCTGCTGATATTCGACATGCTCAATCAGTTTCCTCTTTCAAACCTCTTCTCTTTAAGCACCTACTCCTTTCTCAATGAGACTGATTGTGAAATGTACTTAAGAGAAATATCTAAGCACCACCAGAGACTACCTCAATTTATTTAGGTTATTTTAGTTTCTCATATATATGTACAATTTTCTTGTTCTTTTCTTTCTCTTTTCAGTATTTTTATCTTTAGTCAACTCTTATTGTAAATATATAATCTAATTGTAACCACACAGACATACAATCTGTATTTATATTTTGTTCTAAAGGGACAACCGTCCCTGAATAATTTTCATTTCATTTCTAAATATAGTTGAACTATGCTATTAGCAGAATAGAATTGATATTCTCAAAATATGAACTTCACTCACTTGTTTCCTGCTCTTCATTCCGGAGAAACTTATCATATTTAATTATTTAAAAATTTGATGGGGTTTATAAAATTTCTATAGAGAAGTGTCTTCTAAAAGAAGTTTCACTGTATATCATGGTTCCCTTCTCTTCGCTACCTTCCAGTAATTGAGACAGAACTACACTACTGGATGTAAAATAAAGATGTAGCAAAAACTTGTTCCCAACAAGCATGGTATCAACAATTTAAAAAAAACATCTTTCGGATATTTCAAGATTACTTGTTTATATATTTTTCTTTTTATTATCATTCTATCAAATAATTTCGATTTTGGTAATAATATATTTAAATAATTATTTTGAATTTACTTTATACCTATATATTTATTCTTGTAGGTTTTACAAAAAGAAAAACATGGAAAAAAAAATCTATGGAATGATTCAGGTAAGCTATTGAATTATGACAAAAAGCAAACAACATTTATAAAACTAAGTAGATATTTATTATACATTTCATATTCATTATTTCCCATAATTATAAACCTTACCTAATGATGGTAAGCCATACCTGCAGTGCCGGCCTTAGGACCGAGCAATTGTCCCAGGGCGCCAACCTGAAGGGGGCACTCACCACTTGTTAGGAATGAAAAAATAAATTACAAAGTATATGAGAATAATTAATTTTAGCCTATTAATAAAATAACTGAATTAGAGATATATTAAGTGAAATACAATTCAAATAGTACTTAATATAAAGTAGCAAAAGAAATAAATTAAATTTTTTGGAAAGACATGACGTCATTGTCCAAATGTCTGTGGCCGGTACTGTTTAATATTAGTGTTAACAATAAATATTAAGAAAAAAAAAATTGTATAATAGTTGTCAGCAAAACGCCCCATTATTTCATATTTAATAAGAACGAATGCTCTGCCAAGTAGAAATGAAATCAATAATTATTCCTCAAGTTTTATCGATTTTCAACATTTAAAATAACTAGTTTCATAAAACTTGATTTTGTAAAACAACCCTTGAAAATCCTAGGTTGAATTAATTATTATCGAAGTGAACCGAGCATTTGTTAAATATATATTATTAAAATGCATTGAATATGGTGATCCTGAGCTGAATTTTAAATAAAAGCTGACAAAGCATTTACATTTAATTTCCACCAAACAATAGATGCTTTGTAATATAACTTTTTAACAATAAAATAAGAAGGTTTTAATTGGCATTAATAAACTGTAGGTATTGATATTTGCAATTGCTGGAGTCTTGGTGTCAACCAGCCCAATGAAACCATATGAAATGTAAGTAACTTTATAGAGTAATGAAAATAAAATTAAGAATTCCTAATAAGATCTGAAATAGCTCAATTAAAATTTACTGGCATGCGAATATATTATTTTCCAGGTTGTAATACTATGAATTAGTATATTTCACCTATATTAAATTTTCTTTATTTATAAATTTTTTTAAATAGAATTTTCATATACTGCATGATACATTAATTAATAAATTTAAGATTTTTATTTGAAAAACAAATGATCCAATCTCCTTAATGCTAATTAAATATTGTTCTCAAAACTGTTAGCTGTAGAAACAAAAATTGTAAGGAACTATTCATGGTGTTATCTAATATAAAGATATAATATATAATAAAATATAAAGAACATACTCATACAATATTCATATATAATAATATATAATATATAATACAATATTCATAGTATAGAGAGATCATGAAGTTTAAAATAGATTTATCTCTTATATATTATACAAATTTTTAATTTTTTGAGGGAAATGAGAAAGTATTACACATGAAATAAATAAATATATTCAATGAAGTAAAACACTAAAAAGTAACCAATATTGAAGTTTTCAAAACATTTGCAAGTTCACTAATGACATTACTTTACTTTTATCTTTTTTCTGTTTATTAATTATACTTTTTTGGACAGTTTTGTGAATAAATTTCTTGTTGTCACTTAAAAATAATATCAAATAGTGGTAAATATTTATTGTTCACTGTTATTTTTTAACAATAACTGGACCAGCTGGATTTTCCATAAGGTCAATTCTTAAGAAGAAATGTAGTCCATTTCTCTTTTTTCCTTTATATGAAATTCTTCAATAAAGCAAACGTAATTAAGAGAAATCAGAAGATCTATTTAAAACTTGCTCAAAAACTTAAAATTAACAATTAATTTATATTGTACTTTACCTAATAGGTGTCCATTTTTTCTAATATTATTTTCCAATAAAGAGCTTCCACTCTGTTTTGTTAATATCGATAAAATACTAAAACACATTTGACCAATAAAATCTTTTATGGATAATACCACATCCCTATATAAATTTAACTGTCACAGTTTATCTATCTTACTAGAAATTTGATTCCTGTTTTTAGATTTTGTTTTTAATTTATGAAATTAAGGGTTTTTATTTTTTAGTTCTCCTACCACGTCAGGACCGCCTAGAGATCTGAAAGCAATTAAAGATGAAGTTAAATCCTGGCCTAAAATATTCTACTTAAGCATGGATCCAAATGATCCCATTGTTTGCTATTCAGGAATAAAATTTAATTTCACAGAAAATGAGAACAAAACAACTTCTCAGGATGAAAAGTAAGCAAATATTAGATGTATGTTTAAAAAATATTATTGGATAAATTAGTAATCAAACAGTGGAGGAGGAATGTTAAAGCTAAGAGACATGGAGTAGGGAACTGTCTTAGATATAATAAAAACATTTTCATGTAAATTACAGCTTACAAATTCAATTCTTATGATTCACTGAGATCCTCAGTTCTCAAGCATCATTTTTTTTTTCTTTGTTCTTTCCTTCAAAAAGAGCTAGAAATAATAACACTAACTTTCTAATCATCAGAGAAGAAAAAAAAAGAAAGGTTTTAGAACAGATATATTAAAATGTGGATGAATGTCTTATACATAAAATAACATTCTGATATTTATAACTTACACATGTTTTACATTGATGGTTAATTGTACTGCATTTACTTTTGAAATTTGTAAAATTTGAGAAATGCAAACATTATTTTTTTATTTAACCCATTATTTATGATACGTTGTGGCCACATCCAAGATTTTTTCCCAGGCTTTAGTAATTCTTGATAAGCCTCTGTTATCAAATCTCATATGCCATTAAACATTTTTTTGGGGTTATGTGGTTTGTAGCAGCATGATAAAACAATATGTGACTTTATTCAATAGTTTTAATTTATTTAAAATTTAATGTTAAAAAGTTAACCAGTTAAAAATAGTTAGGCATTACAAACCCACCAAAAAATAAGTTATTACTTTTTTTTTAATTATGCTTCTCTTTATCGGCTTCTGCCATCAGAGACCTTACAGCTCAGTACCATTCCGATTTGAATGACGTGGTATATCTTATGGGATATTTATTAAATAACTCTATATTTATATCTAGAGACTGGATTTTCATGCTATTACACATTTTATTTATCTCTGTATTAAGTATAGGGACATCCAATATGAGACCTGCATGTGGTATGGTATGCTGAGCGTTTGGAGTTGGTATGTGGCTGGTAGAAGATTTTAAATTCTTTTATTAAGTTCTCTTTATGGAATGAAAGGGTATTTCATAGATTCAGCATGCTAAATATTGGTAACAAACATACTATCAAGTACATACATTTTAAAAATAATGGTATAATTGGCGGTTACTTATTAATTTTATAAAACTTTTCATTTAATCTAGATGTATACGGTCACAGCTCCTTATCTCGGTTCTGTTATCCACAGTTTCAAAGCATGCGTATGTTGCTTGGACAAAAGTTCTTTGATAGAATGCCACTGAATTACAGTCATATAGTCAGGATAGAATATTTGGATTTATAATTGTTGGATATTTATATTGATGAAATATATTTATAATGATTAGATTTGAATTAATTATACCTATAAGGTAATATTTTATTTATAGAAACAACCAAAGGATATTTACTCTTAGCAAGGATCCATTATACCCTGTGACATGCAGAAAAGGTCCTGTTCCAGTAACTTTAATGGATACTTACACTGTCCTGGAAGAAGACAATGGAGGCAATATCACTAACGGTTGGTATCAGCCTTGAGCGCTACATCACTAAAAATTTATTTAGTGACATAATAAGTAATCTTTTATTTATTATCCATTTATTCATTATGTCTTTATATAAACATTTATTCTTATTACCAAAATGATTCAATTTTATAAATTTGATTTTGTTCTTTCCTCACGAATCCTTTGGTTCAATAATATTTTTTTCTATCTAGAAAGACCCATTTTCGATCATTGAAAGTAATTGTGAAATCATTACTTTCTTTAAAAAATATTTGATTTCTATATTAACTTAAATTTTTGGTTTAAATGTTTTCCCTTACATACCCTTATTTTCTAACGTTTCGAGGATACTTTACTCTCATTTTTAGAAATAATTTGTATGCCCTGTATTTGTTGTTCTTCAGAGATATTTTTTTTCTTATTCATCTTACAATGGCCCTTTTAGTATATTTCTCCTTTCTCTTTATCAAAATTATTTTGCATTAAAAAAAATATAATTAAAAATTAACATTTTAATTACTGCATTGTACTTATTGGATAGTAAATACAATTTACCAATTGATATTACTAATCAATTTAATTCAGAATATGGTAATTATAATGTTAATGAAAATTGCAACTTTAAAAATAAACAGTTAACAAAACATCCTACACAATAATTATTATTATAATACTGTGTTACTTAGATTGGACTCTTCTTTTATTTGTTCCTAAAAACTCTGGGCTGTTGTATCACGTTTCTAGCCTCAGCTGAGACTCCAAATTCTTATAATTTTTGTCTCAGTTGAAGTCAGGGATAGAATATCTGTTATCATAGGGATGCTTTACCCTCTCCCATTTCCATTGTTTTAAAGTTTTCTCTTAGTCGCCACCTTATGAAAAAGGTATTCAAACTTTGTTTTTCTGTTTCAGTTTCATTTTAATCAATAGTTTCTATTTCGTTAACTTGTCAACAATACAAGTTGTTTCAGAATCACCTATCAGCCTCTTGGTCTATGTTCCACTGATCCTAACAAACCCTTAATAGACTTTCTTAGATGACAGAGTTTCTTAGAAAAGTGAATCGGTGGCATCCATTGTTTTACTTGCTAACATTCTGAAACCAGTTTATATCAATCTTTTGATGTCTTATTCTACATTAATTCTTTTAGGTCAAATATAACTTCTCCTCTTCACTCCACTTCTTATGAGCCTTCACTTTTATAATATTAGGATATATTTAAATTAAAAAAATTATTAGGTAAATGACAAATAAACAATTATGGAATGTTTGATACTTCTTAATTATGTTTATTTAATAAATAATTATTTTTAAAAAATTATATCCAAGATACATATATATATATTTATATACGTTTGTACCTTGGAATAAAATTGGGCCAATATTCTTCAATCATTAGCAACGGGGTTTAACTAATAATATTGGTACTTGGTGGGGAAAACTAGTCCGGCAAGTGGGCCCTGTCTTGTTGTTTTTTGCCAACTTCTGATGGCTATTTTGATGTTGCCGCCACGTACTTACCAGAATGGGAATGTCAAGATCCATTTCCCGGGGCCCCCGAGAAATGGAAATTATAAGCATTTTACTTAACCGACCCAGAATCGAACCTTCAATGTTTAGAAATGGGGACTCTGAGATTCATGCCCCAATACTCTCGGCCATCCCATCCTCCTAACTAATACTCACAGGCGGATCTAAGGGGGGAAGAGAGGGAGGCGCTTTCGGGCTGAAGCCCTCACCAAAATGGTAAAATATAACCATGTTTTATGAAAAAAATTATCTCTAAAAGCATTATTGTTGATCTAATTATATTTAATAGGACTTAAAAAATCACTTAAACACCATATTTCATATAGGTACTTAGTTTCTTTCTTCCGAAGTAATTATCATAATATATACATAAAAAAAAATCTTTCGGGCTGAAGCTCTCCCCAAAATTAAATACTGCATCCGTTAGTGCTAATAGTAGGAATACTATTGAATCATTGAGTTGACATAACACATCAGTTACCTTTTGGACTTATTTGAAATTAGACAGTTCTTGAAATGGATGCATGTTTTGGTAGAATAATTCATGTAATTTTATTCACTTTTGCTATTTTATAATGGTTTATTATTTAGTTGAAAAACGGCTTTAGTCAGTGACTCAAAGGATTTCTCTTCTCTGTAAGCTTCATGTCTAAATCTGATGCTCTCATTTAAATAATTAATTATAATTATACAACATGTATAATATATAAATAATTACACATATTTTGTTTATTTCTTAGCAGAAGCTGGAATTGAAAACATAAAAATGCTTTTTATAAGGTGATACCTATGGGTGATATTTTCAAATCATTATTTCAATAATTTATTTTATATAGATATAATTAAAAATAAATAATATTTTTAATCTCTAGTCAATAAATAAATTTGGGTACACCTATTTTCCAGTGACTTGTATAAGAAGAGATTATGAAAAAAATATTTCGGCAATATTCATCCATCAAACTGGGCCTTTACATACAGCATGGAATATTTTTAACAGCTCCATTCCTTATGGCTTCATGACAGCTACAGATTTAAACAACATTGATGAAAAACATGTTTTAAAAGAATACGAAGTTGGTGAGTACAGTCTCATTATTATATTTAAATTATATTTAGTAAGGGAGTCTTTAGCATTTTACTTGGTTGTGCCACCCTAAATTTAAGAAGATCTTGAAGCCAAAATTATGATATTTTCCTCAAGAAGTTATCGGGCTACGGGCATTTTTACTAATATAATATTAGTCCTGGTAAAGGGGGAGAAGAAACCAGCTAGTAAGTCTATTGATTCCATTTAGTCCAATCCAAAATGACTATCTAGAGGTTGCGAACATTTTCTAATCAGAGTGTTAAAGTCTATTTTATAGAACTGTCACGAAATAAATGTTAATTTATTACTTTTTGGAGTGTTGGAATTAAAGGTTGAAAAGAAAAATAAACAATATAAAGAAAAACAACAGTATAATGCCTTTGAAAATGGATATCTAATATGGAACGTCAAGCAAATAAGGGTTGAGAATTTTTATGAAGGTCATTATCTCATCTTCCAAAAATATTGTACATATGATGTATGCTCATTACCAGCTGCTCAATATTTGTTTTAATTAAACACTGAATTTATAACAAGTCAATGTATATTTGTTTAACAAATTGAATTCATGAAGCAACAGTATTAGTAATTAATTGTTTGAAATCAAATTTAACAGGTCTACCAACTCTCAGAACTTAACTTTAATGACTATATAGTTCAAAAAATACTTATACTTTAATAATTGTATTGTACATAAATTATAATATTAATTTATCATATTTTTCTAATTATGTTTTTTTGCAGTTATATTAATGAAAATATATTAAATTTTGGATAATTTCAAAATATTTTTTTTTATATTGAAATAACATTTAATTTTCTTTTAATTCATCTACAGACTGTGGAGAGTATGGAATCGATACTGGTGATAAAGGTCTTTGTCCAGGATTAGCTGCTTCTTTATGTGGCTAATTAGATGATTATGGATATCCACACGCATTTAATAATATATATATTATATAAGCTAGGTTAATGAAGTGTACCTTACACAATAATGTTACTTAAGGAAATATCTGTTAAATTATTTGTATTAATTTATATTAAAAATGTTCTATTTATAACTATCTGTATTTTTATTACATTATCAAAAATTACCTTTATATGTGTATTGTAAGTGTCATTGATAATATTATTGAAACAATTATTTTAGATGTATATTACTTTCACTTACGTATATATGTAATATATAGTAAGGGTAAGTATTGCTTGAAATTGAAATTGTAATTGAAAATGTGAAAATTTTCGAATCTCAATTTTCAACGGAAATACATGTTTTGAGGTCCCCTGAGTTCAAATAACCAAGTGTTGCAAAATGGTCTGTGTGTGTGTGTGTGTGTGTGTGTGTGTGTGTGTGTGTGTGTGTGTGTGTCTGTGTTAACAGTCTAGCTCATAAAAAGTAGTACGAAACTATTTAAAGTATTTAAGATTTGTATATGGGTCGGATGTGACAACAACTTTTTCGTTAAAATCGGCTAACCGGAAGTGCAGCTTTATATGAACGCTGAAACACATTTTTACAATTTTCTCAAAAATGACAAACGATTTTGATCAAACTCAGTGTATCATTGTATAATTAAGTGGTCTTTAATATCATTTAGATCTTATCCCCGTTGATGTCACTTTACAGGGCTTAAATGCCCAATGTTCATAAATGTCTTCCTCTAAAGTACATTTAATATGGTTTATTTTAAAAAGTTAACCATTTCGCATTATTAAGAGTTACGAAAAAATGCTACATATAACTTTTGAAAGAATTTGATAAGTTAATAAAGGAGAAAAAAAAAAAGGCAGAAAAACCTGCCTGGTGGAACAAAAAAAATGGTCCCTATTAATTTATTTTTGTTCAAAACTCTGCTTCTATGAGGTAACAGAATTTTATGTTATCTAATTTTTATGAAAATGTTGGTGATTCAAAGCGTATAAAAATGAGCTTTAAATAGTAAAAGAAATTTTTAATGGTAAGTAAACTGGACCAAGTGAGATTTTGATATGAAGAGTGGAAGAATTGAGAATTAAAGATTCAAAACTACTTCTATGGAGGGAAGTCGTTACAACAATTTGTTGGAAATAATCAATTTGTATCATGATGATCACAGGTAATGTTAGTAATTAGAAAGCATGATAAACACAAATCAGCCTTTGAGAAAAGTTTATTAATCCTGGATCAATTAGTATATTATAGATTCAAATTTATTTAAGTAATCTTTTTTATTATTAATTTTTATTTCTGGATAATTATCATCAATAAATATCTAGTGGCATCCCGAATAAATTTCACTATCTAAAACATAGCATTTTTATGGCATCCCTTGTGGGGATAAATCATAGCAACATTTATCACATTATAGCTATCTCCAAAACTGCATTCAAATCTTCCGACCCATCCTTGCCTACATCGAGCTGCATTGACCGACTGTTGTGTAGTGTTTGCTCAGAACATCCTCTAGATCCAGTATCTCAATTTCTCTCCATCATCCGCAAGTTGAGTTCCTTATTGTTGACATTCTCTCTAATGCTTCTCATATCCTATATAATGATGTAGTATATCGTCATGCTCTAGTTCCTTATGCTCTAGTTGATCCGTCATTTGAATAAACTTAATTCAAATTTATTTCCCTCTATTCCAAAATAATCGTCTCTGGAGACTTGAACACGAATTTTTTCTCTGATTCTGATGAAAAACCCTTTCTAGAAGATCTATTTTCTCATTTCAACTTTTCATTGTTCCTTTATGATTAACAGCAAGTCCGATAATTGGTTAGACCTCTACCTTATTGACTACTCACAAAAACTCTTTTCCTCTTCTCAGCTCCCTTTCTATTTTCTCATGACTGGACCCAAATATTATATAACATCCAAAAATTGCCTACTCCATATAGTTCCTTATTTATATATTACTTTGGGTTTCTAGTTCATCGATGTATGCATTTAATGTTAATTTATAACATTCCTGCAGACCAAGATTACACATTTTGTAATCTGTTTTCCTATCAATTCCATGATTGCCATTCTTGCTTAAAGTCTTCTCAGTATCCTTGATATCCACATTCATATGTGTCAGAAAATGAAATATCTGCAGCAGAGGTGGGATGAATCCTTTAGACATTTTTGATATAGTAGGCCTGCTTATGACTACCAAGTGTTTGGGTATTCCGCATCTGAATATGAATAAGAATTTGGCAGTCTAAATCTTGAAACTTCCTAGAAATCATCTTGTCAGCTCTTTATTCCAGATGTAAATGGCTACTAATCCTTTGCCAGGATCAGTCCTGTTTCCGCATCCTTCAACTAACTTGTTCTGGGACGTCCCCTCCTTCCTTTACCTTCAAAATCTTTCTCATCACTTGTCCTTCTGGCAAACTTTCAATGTGCCCAAGACAATGCACTCTTCTTGATTTATACAAATACTATTATAAAATGTAGAATTTTATTAGTGACCGCTGAAGGTACAAGAAATAGCGGTAAATTTAAGCTTGTTGCTCTTAGCAAAAATCCTATTCCGGCTTTATAGCCCTGGAGCAAGAGCCTCAAAACGGACCTGATCGCAGGCGAAGATTTGAATGTACGTTACGAAAGTGTATGTTATTTTGAGTAAAATGAGCCTTTTCTGCCATTCCAGTGCCGGTGATTTAAAAAATTTAAAGAAGACGGATTTAAAGAATATTAGACCAGAAGATCGAAATGGAGAATGTATTGCGAAAAATGTGAGAATTTTGTTAATTTGTTTAGCTTTTATTTATGGATTCAAATACATAAAAAACAAAATTGCCAAGGCGAGCAACCAAGGGAATAGTTTTTACTAACAAAAAAGCCAGATTTTTTTTTTTTTATCTCGTTTTATTTTTTCGCTTGCAACTCCTGAACGGTGCATCCAAGCACAGTAAAACGTGCTCTTTGATAAATTAAAGAATATTAAATTGTGCGTCGAACGAGTACATAAACTTAATAATTTTGTAATGTGGCACAGTAGAAAAATATGTTCAACGGACGCTGATTTTTATCATATTGGTTCAAAAACTGAGATAAATTACCATAAATGGCTCTGCTGCATGGAAATAAGTTCTCCAAGAGAAAACCCTTGTAGAATCAAAGTTGCATAGCATCAAATTCCACGTCTACTGATTACGAACATTTTTAATGTTTTTCGATCATATCTCTCGTAATTGGTAATCTCCCGATGGCTGGAAATTGATAACTGTGATTTTCAATATTTCCGTAATATAGTATGGGTGTCTATTATACTCAGTTATTGTGGTTAAGAGCCCGTTATATGCAGTATAGGCCTCTTTTCCATCCCTCAGCAGCGAATTATTGAACGAAAACATTTTTTTCGAATTCATAGTTTTGATTTTATAGTCAAATTCAGGCTCATTGCCAGGCAGGGCATAGTGCGAGGGAGGACTGAAAGAAAAATTCCTTGAGCTGTTTATGTAATAAAATAAGCTTATATTACTGAAATGTACTAGTAAATTTCATTTTCGTCAAATCTAAATCCATTTATTGAAAAAAGCAAAACATTAAATAATGTGTAAAAAATTAATAATGTGGAGTGGAAGAGGAGTTGTATTGCTTTGCTACGATTAACGGCTGCGCTGGAATTAGAGTAATACAAACCTTTAATAAACTTTGAGCTTATTTCTTTAATAAATTAACTGACTAATTAAATAAATTTTAAGTAATTTAATAAATTACTTTTTCGACATAATATTATTGAATATATTGTGATTGTGAAGGCTAATGACGATAGCAAATTATATTGAGTAAAGAAAAATTTACATGTTTAAATAAATGTATGGTTTAAAAATTTGATTTCACTTATATTGACGCATATGTTGGGATGCAAATTGCAAATTGTGCAGCATAATGACGACAAAACTGGTTACTAAATAAATATTTGTTGTTTCCCTCAGCCAAATTTACTAATGATATAATTAAATTCTTGCTCTTACCTATATAAAGTACATTTTCAGAAGCCAATCTATCAGTTGCCTAAAATGGATCTTAAATTTCTTTTCCTCTTTGTCTTCTTGGCTTTATCTGCAGTCCTCGTAAGTACAATTTTTTTATACATGTCTTTGCTTTATTTAACAAAATAATAATAAAAATTAAAAAGTGTATTGCATATTTTATTTATGCATTTAATTATGGTACACTGAATGTGCGTGATGTGTGATGTGTGGGGAACTGATTACATATTTACCAGGTATTTGAATAAAAAAAAAAAAAAAACTGAGAGAACTGAAACATCATTATGGTATTAATAACACTATTCACTATTGAATCTACGTTTCTTTGACTTATCAAATTTATCAATGACTTAAGCCTAAACATTGGTAGATCTGGTAATCAGACTAGATGTAAAGTAGCTGACTGTGAGTTACTTGGTGAAGGGTAAAATGAATGAACCTTAATTGTATTTGCAGTCCCTGGGAGCAGCAGCAGATCTTGGAGAATTTGAAGTAGAACCAGAGGCAACTGGATCAGAAGGTGGACAAAAAGATGTCAGGTGTGGAGGCAAGAAAGGAGGCAAGGGAGGAAAGAAAGGATGGAAGGGTTAAATAACTGACAAGCAATAAATAACTTATAATAAAAGTTACTATCATGAAAGGTGTTTATCATTGTCCTATAATAATATCCGTTTCGGTTCATTGTTTTAAAAATTAACCTTATCAACCAAGACATTTGTTTTTTAATACCAACCACAAATTCGAGGTTTTACATTTCAAGAGACATGGAACCTAAAAATACGTGCCTTTTCTCTGAGGCTACTATGAAGATTTTTTGGAATTTCCAGCTCAAGTCACTGGTCAGCCCAGGTTCATATACGGATTTCGACAATGCCGTTGCTAATTGATTGAATCTCTACAAGTAGTACATACAGTAGTGATTTGACAAAGATCACGGTCAACCGTCTGGTTTTTCTTCTATTTATTTAATTAAGAAGTAACCTAATTTTATTTTCAACTAACTCAAAATTAAACATGTAAAATATATTATATATATTTCAAATTAGAAAATAATTAAATATAAACCTGTTCTACAACAACCGATGAAGGGTCTTGGATTAAGTACGGTAAGGAAATACTGTTTTTTAGGACAGCGGTTGTGCTTGGAGGCGTTGGGTCTAGACCATGATCAGCCGTCAGGTTTCCTCCTTAATTAATTATGTAATTAAAATAACCGGTTACTGAGTCTGGGTGTGCCTCAGGGGGGTCTCCTGAACTCAGGATCGATTCACGTCTGATGTAGCAGAATAAATTATTACCAGCCTCAGCTATAAGGAAAGTCGTGTAAGAGGAAAAGGAGTAGATATTTTTGGTATACAATAACTATTTAGAAATGATAAGCCATTGTTTAACAAATCACATAGTTTTTAGTCACATTTTCGTCGTTCTGGAGTTTAGAATAAGGACTTCTGAAATTTTAGAACTGTTATAATTATAATTTTATTTTATGATTTGGACCTCGTGAAAAAACAAAATTGAAACTTTTGACTATGAATAGTATTATGAATAATTCATGAGTTAATCTTAACAGAAAATAAAGTTATGATATTCGAATCTAATAATTTTAATCTAGTTGTACGTCAATATTTGACGAGAATAATGAATCTTAATCAAGACGAACTATTATATGAATACATTATAGGTACGCTGATCAGAGGTAAAAAAAAAATATATTCAACAATTTCAAGTGGAAAAATAATGTATTATACATTGACGGTAAACATTTACATACCGCGTAAGTTATTAATCATCACATATATTAAATCCAGAATATTAGAACTTATCGTGATGATCAAATAAACTATAGTCAGAACACATTAGTAAAGCGATAGTAAAAGAAATCACATTTAATTTTGAAGAGCTAAAATTTAAAAAGGAGTTATGAACTAATGGCCTGGGTATAATTTAATAAATCCAAATACAAAGCCTCGAGTCTCTAAAATGAAGGTAAACAATTAACTTGCCAATATTTCTTCAACATATCAGGGTAAATAATCGAGATCACGCCCATCATGGTACGTTGTTGCGCTCAGTATTTTGTAAAAGTGGTCAGTTTCTTCTGACTCCGAATATTATACATTCATTTACTTGACGATAACTAATAAAAAAGTTTCATAAACCTATCAAGTAACAATTACAATATTTATATGTTCATATTCTTGACCTTTCTTCATTAAAACTTATTTCTATCCAATTAGCCTATAGACAAGGTATCAAGAAGAAATAACAATTCTATTGTACTACAGGTAATAAATTGGTGACTGAGTTACTTAATGTATGTCGTTCTAACCCTCAGGGGTGCCTTCCTCCCCCACGTCGATGGCGCATGAACCTCCTCCCTTCCTCCTAAAATATTTTATTGCTCTCCTCTTATTAAAAACAGTGCAAGTGAAAGCAGAATTTAAAAATTATAGATCATAAACAATTACACTTAATGTGGACAGTTCCCGTCTTCTGATTTGGAACTTTTCATTCCAACAATTCATAACTCCGTCGAAATGTGCCTCCTCAAAAGCTCAAAGCCTTGACAAAATGTGTTGCCTTCAAAAATTTTGATGGCCCAAGATGCAGGATTAAACTCCCTTCTGGGTACCTCTACTAACATAATATTTTTAAAGTGACGGCGCCACTAACGGATCCAGGATTTAATTTTGGGGAGCTCCAGCCCGAAAGATTTTTTTAAATGTATATATTACAATAATTACTTCGGAAGAAAGAAAAGCGTTTAAGTGATTCTTTAAGTTCTATTAAATGTAATTAGACGAACAATAATACTTTTAGAGATAATTTCTTTTATAAAACATGGTTATATTTTACAAATTTGGGAGATATTTTACCATTTCAGCCCGAAAGCCTCCTCCTATTCCCCTGTAGATCCACCTATGGTCGGAGCGATGATCGTTTATATTTTTCAGTAGTTCCAGATAAGGATAATAAAAAATTAAAGTTATTTGGATATTAATACCGCTTACGTATATGTGAAATATACAGTAAAGGAAAGTATTGTGATCTTAATAAAAATTCGAATCCGCGTTTTTAACTGAAATACAGGTTTTGAGGACTTCTGAGTTCAAATAATACGTTTTGCAAAATGGTCTGTGTTTGCGTGAGCAGCCAAGCCCAAACAAGAAAAGTTGTACAAGAGTAAAATTACCTATTTAAAAAAGTTATATACCTGGAGTGTGACAGTAACTTTTTTGCCAAAATCGACTAATCGGAAGTGGGAATTTATTTCATCGAGTTTACACATAGTGATATAGATTATTTCCTGCTATGGTAGATTCCAAAGCTTTCTGTGAACACTATTTGTAATCCATCTCGTTTATTTAATTTCCAAATTATATATAAGTTTTATATTCTTAACGTAAAAACAAACTTGTTCGATAAAAAAAAAAAATTACTATTTATTTCTTAAATAAAAATTAGCTAGAGAGCTGTACAGCTAGTATATTTTAACCACTTTTACTCTTTCTATTTGTTTCGACTCTAAGAGCTTTACACTGATTTTAAGAAATAGTAAAAACATCAAAAACTAAATGTGTTTTTATAAAGCGTTTTTATAAAGGGCGGGTACCATAGTCGTATTTTTGTGCCGATTACAACTAAGATTATTTGTGTGAAATAAATAATTTGATGTTGTTATTGTCTTGTTTTCATTTACATTTCTTCTAATTTTATTTTTTGTCAACAAAATGCTCAATCTGTCTTCATTTATTTTAGTTTCGTTCTTAGTCAAGAAAAAATGTAGGTAGTCATATTTTGTTTAGTGAATGTTTTGTATTGGTAACACTGTTTATTTTAAATCAGTATTCTTACTCAAGTTTAATTTTGGTATTCTGAGTTTTATAAAAGAAATTCCTGATGAACTTAAATTATGTTTTTATTTAGGAAACAATCATAATAATCATCTTTTAGGAAGGTATTTCTGGTTCATGATCTTTAACTTTTAACTTTAAGCAAACTTAATTGTTTGCTTTCAAACTGACGAACTATCTTTTAGTTGCAAATAGTAAACTTTCCTTATTAGTGTAGCAAAGTATCTAATATTTTAGAGTTTGCTATTTGTTCTGGAATTCATTGATTTTGGATTAACTTTCCTAGGTTAAAAACTCTGGTTTTCACCTCTATTGAAAGTTTTCTTTTTCAAAGCCTTTCAGTTAATCTTAAACTCAAAACTAATACGATAGGATGGGAATAAAAAGATATTAAATTTTAAAATATATTTTAGGCAAACATAGATACTTACAGTTTATAAAGAAAAATGAATAATACCTTAATCTAAACATAACTATTAACATTACATTACAATAAGCAAGTTTACAAACATTCAAAATCATATATATATTTATTTACACAAAATAATGAAATTTTAGCAGGTACTTTATAATAGCAATTATTTTTTTATAATACAACTTATCTACAATTAAAAGTAACCAGTTTATTAAGTTACAGTTGAAATAGCAAAATATTTATAATTGCATCAAATTACAACAAAGCAACAAATTATTCATTTTTTAATTCAATAACAGTTTTAGTTTAAAAGATACATAGATAACTAGATCAAGTTAAATTTTATTACAACTGTACAATTTAAATAAATGTTTTTTCTAAACTAGCATTGCGCTAAAAACTATACTAAAATTGATACTACAAAATAAAAGTATTTACTAATCATTACTCCATTTACATGCACTGAATCTTCAGAAAAATTCATCACAGACAAAAATATGATGGTAAAATTTTGAAAAATTAATTTACTTTTTTAAAAAGTTAGTATATAAATCTGATGGTTCATAAAATATTTAGAAAATGTATACCTTTAGAAGATTGGTTCTATTATAATACTGGATTGAGTCATCATTAGTTAAAATAATAATATCAAAAATTAATTTTCTTTAATGTATTAATAATTGTTCAGCATGTATGAGATCAGAAATGGCTTACATCATCTAGATAAAACAGTTATTCAAGCAAAACACCAAGAAGAAAAAATTCTATATCTTATGAATAAAATATAAGAATTATTAAAATTATATTTTTTTATTAGCACATGTGACTAAAATAGATCTAGGAATCTGTTATTATTATTGTAAGCATTGAAACAGAAACCATTTATAATTATTCAGAATGGTTTTATATCTCACTGCGAAGATAAGAGTCATACTTTTTAATTTTTTTTTTTTAAATGCTCAGTTGCTTTGAGATATATGGCGATTAAGAATCACTTTGGACTCATTAATGAAATAATCTCTTACATGTAACAGTACATCACACCATATCAACTCTCTGAGACAATACAGCCATTGTTTCCTGACATATTTTAAGCCACAAAGACAACAAATCTTTAGTTACTTGGTGGTTTTAAAATAATGTCAAAGACAAAAATATAAATTCTAAACAAACATTGATGACATAAATTAGGCAAGTGTTGTTTGTGAAGCCTGAATTGCAGGGTTCATCTTGATACTATTGTTTACTGTATGTGTGCTGTTAGTGCTATTTGTGTTTCTCGAACTGGCTCCTGACCATGTGGTTCTTGGACCTGAACTGAT